CTGTTTTCAAAATAATTTTTTATTTTAAAATGTATGAAGTATTTGTAAGTTCACATAAATGCTATTTTTATTCCCAGATAATGCACCTCAGGTAGCAATTACTGCACCAGGATCTGGTAACCATAGAAACAGCTCTACAGGCCCAACACCTGACTGCTCTCCCCCGTCACCAGACACTGCACTTAAAAACATAGTGAAAGTTATACGTCCTCAGGTAGGTGATCACCATAAGCATCTTCTTGTTGTACTTTTCCTTTTAAAAGCAAGCTATGATACATTTATTCTACAAGGATGTTGTCACTATACACATATGCATAGGACAAAGACAGATAAACAGAACACAAAATATTTTCTGTACTTAGGAAGCAATCTTGATAGCAGGATAAGATAGAATATTTTGTGAAATAGCCCAACAATTTACAGAGAGATATCAGTACATTTTTCTTATAGCATTAATGATGAATGTAATATTTTTTATTGTTATTGACGTTTTTTTTTCCCAAGTTTATGTTATGCTTTTATCAGTATTAATTCTTTGTTACTTTTTTAGCTTTTCTTTCCTCTTTCTGTGTCTCCATTTACATGATCCCATAATGTTTTGCACGTTCTTTAGTTTACCTTCTTATATAGTATTGCTTCTTGACTTTCATCCTTCCTAACTATATGTATTTCTAATAGTGTTTGGTAACCACAATGAGTAACACGTGGAAAACTTGCGTGCCTGTTGTAATTCTCTAAGGAGTACAGCCTTTTAAAATAAAATCTTCAACTAAATAAATCTTAGAACTTAATTCAGTAGTATAGAGGAGTTTATTTTAGAATTGCAAGATCATAGTATAACATAGGTCAGAAGATACCTCAGGGGATTATCTAGTTCCCCACTTAAAAAGGTGTGACATTAGGTGTGTCAAAGCTAGCCGTGACAACTACAGACTGAATTGACTAATTGTGAAACTTTTTTGGTGTGAACCAAAAGAAATTCTGTTGCTCTCCTGCCTATTATTGGGTTCAAATGCAGCCATCTGCTCTTCATTGCTGAGCTGATCTCTGCAACTGAGCCACTTTGCTAGTGGAGGCAGGCTTTGTATCATCAGTATGTTGCTGGCATTTGTTTTACTTGAGAAGTAAGCTGATGGACACATTATATTTTGGTAAGAACTATATAGAACAGATTGTTTTGGTGCCACACAAATAAGCGTGTTACAGTGATGGAGGTGGATCTTCCTTTCAGTACTCATTGGAGCACACAGTTCAGAAGGTCTTGCAGAATTAAAGGTAATTACGAGGTGCACCTGCCATTTCTCTCTGGGAGCCATTGGTTTCCTATGGCTGACACTGTCAATGCACAAAAATTGTAGTGACTATCTGGTGCAGACCATACCTCTTTGACACTACAGTACTTTGGGTTCCTGGTTTAAATCTAGATTGCAGGGGGTCTAAAATAACAGCTTCTTCTCTTTTTCTCTTTTTATAGTTATTTCTCATTTTTCTTGTTCCTGTAGTCTCTCTATCCCTCCCACCTTACATCAGTATAGTACTGAAATGCCTCCTTCCCTCTAAGCTGTTTTTTATAGTAGGCGGCAAGCAAACAGAAAGGTATTGGAATGTTGTTGGAACAAGCTGTTGTGTGATAGCTTATTGAAAATAGCATTTAAAAAGCTGTTTCCATCATGATATTGCCAACAGATGGACCCAGAACACTGAATGGTGATGTTCTCCTGCTAGTTAACTCTGAATGGATTCAGCAGATTCTGGGGAGCTATTTTCAAATTTAAATCATACCATTTACTGACTCCCAGTATTCTCATCCATTCTGCAGAACAAAAGTTAGCTGTGCAATATATATGGACAGAACTTTACCTTGTTTGCTAAAATGTCTCTCATGTGGCCCTACATGTTGCATACTTCCTATGCAGAAAACAGCAGGAGAAGGGCACACGTAGGCTAGTGCTTAACGTATGTTGTAAATCTATGCACTAATGCACGAAAAGTTGGATACACTATAGCATTCAAATCCCACAATGCTTCTCCTTTCTCCATGTGTTTTATGCATATTCCCTCAGTATTCCTTTTCTTTGTTTTTGTTGCTTGCATAATCACCTCCCCCCAAGTTCTCAACCCCAGAATTTAGACAAAGAAGTTTTAGATACTTGCAATGTGATGTTTGCAAACCATTAGTGTTAATTCTGCCTGTGTATTTAATTCCTTTATTCCATGCCTGCTGCATTCAATTACATGGCGAGCTCTTTGAAGGTTAACACAATAGGATTCTATTCTTGACTGACCTCTCACCACTCATGGAAAACTAATGAATAGTGTTACACAATGCATGCAAAATAATTAATTTTCTGCTGTCTGCCAGGGCCTCTTTGCACTTTTCTAGCAAACAAACAGATTTTAAACAGATCTAAAACAGAGATAATATAAATTTCCAAACCAGCTGTCACTCCTTTCCCCTTTTCATATGCCTTATGCATTCTGCACAGGAGGGTGCTAGTAAAAGGCAGAATGGGAAACTCTTCAGCAGCTAGTTTTGCACTAGGCAGGCTTTGGTAGCATGGATGAAGCTGCCAGGGAAGTCTGGCCTTTAAACTCGTATTGTTATTTTCATTTATAGACTTACTTATCTTTCCTGGAGTGTTGTGCATATAACAGTTTGCCCACAGTGAGGAGAAACACTGTGTTTCTGTGTAAGCAGCAGCAGAGGGGACCAAAGATTCCTTCCTCCCACCAGTCTGGTGAGGGCAGGTGGTGGCAGAGAGTGGAAAAGGAGAAACCTGGTGAGCTGGGCTTCAAGGCAGAGGTGGGGGTCGTTCTGCCTCCTGTTTTCTTTGGCCTGTTCTTTCTAAGACTGCCTGTCAGCTCACATGATGGCAGTACATATACACGCTTCAGCACGTGACACATTTTGAAGATATTTGTATGAATGCACAGTGGCCACTCCTCTCTCCTGTTCCAGGTGCTCGTGTACCAAATGCAGCTGGTGGGGAACCCTGTCAGCTGCATGAAGGGTCTCTGAAGAGGAGGGAGGCTGTGATGCTGCACTGGCAGCCCGTGGGGTGAAAGTACCACAGCTGGGAAGTGTGAAACAGGAACAATCTCGTACAGAAAGTGTAAATCCAAGGGGTCTGGGTCAGGGACAGTTAAGCGATTTCTCACAGTGCACTCAAAACTTGTTTTGTCTTTTTCCTTCTGGTTGTCTCTTAACCTGGCCCTAACTATTCCCCTTCTTATATTAAAAGCATGCCATTGCAAAACCTGGCTGGGAATTTCTGTTTTCCCCAAACTTTCACTCACTTTTCTGGAAATTTGTCCTTTCTTCAATTAATTATGATGAATTTTGAGGTGAGAAACCTGCAGTTTGTTGTGACCCTACCACTCGTCCCTTATGAGATCCCATTGCTCTCTAAAATCTATCTAAAACTCTCTTTGGATATGTCTCAACTATTCAGTTGAGCATACTATTGCTAAAGCTGAAGCCTATTTTAACTGAAATGGTGTATCTCCCTGGCACAGTGCAGCGCTCTGGAGAGATACTAACTCAGAGCTCAGAAGCAGTAGTAAGTTCAGTGCCACCCACCTCTGCTGCTTCCAGTCCTGAAGCGAGCACACTTAACAGTAATTCAGGGCTCTGTGTGCTCTTTTATCTGTGTACCTTATCTATCGCTTGTACCTGTGATCTAGCGTTTTGCAAATACGCATCTTGTTTTTAAATTTTCACCAGGTCAGTCTCTGAAAAAGAGGATTTGTTGAAATGTTACATATATGCAGATAAGGAGGAAACAGAATTTAATTCAGATTTTGAATCACTTGATTATTTTTTCCAGGTTGTCCAGTCAAGTCTTACTAAGTTTTTAAATCCTGAATTCTGATTAATGATGATTTTGACAAATACAGTTTCAAGTTAAAGATATAGGCCTCTGTGAGGTATACTAACAGCACACAGGAGAAAAAATGACTTATGGTAGGAGACCAAGTATGTTAATGTGTTAACTAATGTCCTCTGACATTTTAGGCTCTCTTCCAATTTTAACTTGGTTACATTGGTATATATAGTAAAATATAACTTACCTTATCAGGCTGGAATTGTAGAAAGTTACAGTGAAATTGAGCTTGTTCTACCACAATTCCTATAGCTCCCAGTCTGGATGAAGCCTAAACAAAATTGGGCTGTGTGTGATGCTTTGTGTATTTTTCGTATTAGCCACTCAATTTAATAAGATTTCCCTTACTTTAACGTATTTATTTGTTCAGCTCCATTTGAACAAATAAACTATATACACAGAGAGAAAAAGAGCACCTTTTTTCCTAAGAGATTGTTTCTATTGCCAGGGGGTCATTGGCAATTCTCGTAAAATTGAATTCTGACATCTCATCTTCTACGTTCCTTATTAAATGCAATTCATCATTTGCATGCTCTCTTCTTGTCTGGCTAAGATATGTTTCAAATGGCTAATTGTGGCTACAGCTTTTGATGTGTAAATGTAGATTATTTAGAGGTGACTTGGATTTTTATCTGTCATAAATTAGTATTTTCTCCATTTTATGTAAATAAGCAAACTCACTAAGAGTGTTGTTTCAGTGATGTAAAGAGATCTTTTTTAACCCTTTTAAACAAAGTCACAATTCCATCTGTGGTTCATCATTCCCCTCTCTAAGATGTGTAGCAATATAATAGAAGACAATAGTTTAAAAGTTAGAGGACAAAAGAAATTGTCTCATTTTTCTACAAGCAGTAGTAGAATCCTGCAGGAAATCTGTAGCCTCTGATAGACCTATCCCACTTGTTTGGGCTGCCAGGTGTGCCTTGCCTAATGTACAACTATTTTGTGTATGCACAGTGAGCCTTGCATAACTATGTAGATGTAGTTCACCTCGGCATAGGGAA